GAAGAAGGGTCTAGGCCCGAAACGTCAGCCTTCCTGCTCCTCTGATGCTGCTTGCCCTGCTGTGTTCATCCAGCTCTACACCTTGTTATCTCAGATTCTCCAGCATCTGCAGTTCCTACTGCAGAAATTACTGGAGAAAGGCAGCACGGGGAGAGAAAGAGTTAATGTTTTGAGTCTGGTATGACTTCAGAATTAAAAGAAGCTGGAAAATGGTGTTTTTGTTATGCTGTAGACAAACAGGGAGGAGGGTCGATTGGAACAGATTGTGAGGCTGCCTACAGCAAAAGATAATGGTTGTAAAGGAGCAATAGAAATGTAAAATAGGTGTAAATGTTGGGTGTGAAAGGGAGAAAATGGGTCCACGCAGATGAGATCAAAGCCAGCAAAACACAGCCGGGGCAGAGTGTAAGAAAAGAATACGTACAGAGGTCATTCTCTGAAGTTGTGGGACTCCATATCGAGTCATGGAGGCAGTAAACTGCCTAAGTGGAAAATGAGGTGTTGTTTTTCTAGCTTGCCAGGAATTGTTGTTATCTTAATTCTGGGGCTTGCTTTGAAAATAGCCCTAGTTGCAGTTCTTCATGACATTACGCTCAGTGGTCTATTTAAGTAACTGATAAGGCCTCAGCTGGAGTATTGTTGCTATGCAACTACTTGAAACGTTTGGTGGATAGATAAAATTAAACTTGAGGTTAGCTATGAACAATGCTAACTGTGTCCTTCATCGTACCAAGTCCTGTTTACGTTTCTGCCTTATGCTTGTCTATTTAAAGTGGAACAAGCCTGTGTCTGCTCCACCCTTGAGTGAAATAACGGCTGATCTTTGACCTAATGCACTATTCATGCCTTTGTTGCATGTTCCTTTAAAACCTCAGTTAATGGATGTTATTAAACTGGAGATGGTGCAGAAAAGATTTTCAAGGATGTACCGAGACTGGAGGGTTTGAATTATACGGAGAGGCTGGGATTTTTTTTCCCTGGAGTGTCTGAGGCCGAGGGGTGACCTTATAAAATTATGAGGAGTGTAGGTAAGGTGAATAGCCAGGGCCTTTTCCCAAGGGTAGGGAAGCTCAAAACCAGAGGGAATAGGTTTAAGGTGAGAGGGGAAGGATTTAAAAGGGACCTGAGAGGCAAATTTTTCACAGAGGGTGGTGTGTATATGGAAGAAGCTGCCAGAAGAAGTGGTGGAGGCTGGTACAATTACAACATTTAAAAGGCATCTGGATAGGTACATGAATAGGAAGGGGTTAGAGGGATATGGGCCAAATGCTGGCACGTGGGACTGGGTCAGTTAGGTCCAAAATTAATAAACTCACATTCGCTATCATTGAAATCTATTTGCCACAGTTTTGCATTTAAAATTGCAAAAAAGATATCTGCAGATTTAGATAGTAACCATCTAAAACTACCTAGCTTTGTGTCATTAGCAAACTGGACACACATTTTCTATCCTATCCTCTTGTTGATGAATACAGTGAATATTTGAAGCTTTAACATTGCTACTGTGGGACACCACAAAACATACCTTCCCAAATGAAATTCTTGTCCGTTATCCCTATTCTTTCTCTCTTTCCACTCCTTTTCCTCTGCTCCTGCTCCTCCTTTTTCACTTGTGCCCTTTATGTTTCATTGTCTTCAATGTTCTTCCCACCAACATCTCTCCATTGAACCTCACTTGTCATCTTCCTGCCCAGTCTACCTACTTCGTTATGTCCTTTGAGTCCTGCGCTATTCTCCTGACATTTTACAATTTTTCCAGGCTTCTGTGCCCTGCACACCAAGGTCGAGAACATTAATATATTTCAGAAAAAGCAAGCGTCCCAATACTGATCCCTGGAAAACTCCACTAAAAAACCTTCCTCCAGCCTGAAAGATATCCATTGACCATTACTTTGCATAATAGGACAAACAACTGCCAGTACTGGAGATCTGAAACAAAACAGAAATTGCTGGAGAAAATCAGCAGGTCTCTCAGCACCATTACTTTCTATTTCCTGTTACTCAGCTAATTTTGTGTCCATGTTGCTACTGTCGTCTTTATTCCATGACCTATAATTTTGCTTGCAAGTCTGCTGTGTGGTACTCGCCTGGAAGTCTATATACATAGAGTTAATTTTTCTTAAATAATGAATTAACGTACAATTTCTTTAATCTAAAACTAAATTTGCTTGAGTTGTGAGAACTTTGCAGTTGCCCCTATGCCATAATCTTTCAGTGTTCTCATCTACTTGGTTCCTATCCCAGGGTTTTAAAATACCTGATCCTAGGGGTTTGGAATGCTTTAGCACTATTACTCTTGTTATGTTTCTGTTAATTTTTTTGAGTCCCTGATGCTGTTTCACAATTTGTTTCCTTGTGCCTTCTGGCATGCTGGCTTTTTCATCCAGTTTACTGTAAATACTGACCCAGAGTAATACAGCAAGTCAATACGTCCAACATTTCTGAATTTTTATTGACTACATCAGAGATAAACAAACACTTTGATTTTAAATTCTCAGCCTTATTTTCACATACTTTGACGGCCTTGTCCCTCGCTACCTCTGTAACCTCCAGCTTCATAACCCTTCAATATTGATGTGTTCCTCCAATTATCATTACGTTATCGCTGACACTGTGGCTATCAAAACCCTAAGGTTTAAAGGTTCCTCCTTATTCCTCTCGAGGTTCCTCCTGCTCCTTTTCAACTCCAACTTGTCAAAGAGTAAGGTTTTTGTCATGGTGATTTGCCCTAATATGTGGCTCATCACCGTCCAAAATGGAATGTGGTTGTTAGTTGTATGGGGAATTGGAATATAATGTTAAAGATGTTTTGTTACTGTTATGCAAAATGTCGGTGAGATCACTAGACTACTCTGTATGGTGTCAGTCTCCTTATTTAAGAAATGACAGAAATACATTAGAACCTGCTCGGAGAAGGTTTACTTGACTGATTCCCAGGATAGCCACATTCCCTCTCATTTTCCCCGCCGCTGTGCAGACCTCTGAGGCCAGTGTGTGGCAGAAACCTCTGGAACTAGAAGTACAAGGACACTACGTGATTGGTGTGCACGCAGACCCTCAGTGACTGTGTAGATCAGAGGGAACATTTGATGGAGGGATTACCTTGTGGGGCAAGTTGGACAGAAAAATAAGAGGTGATCTTATTGACACATGTCACATCCAGAGAGGAGTCATGTTGTGGAAGTACCGGTGTTGGACTGGGGTGGACAAAGTCAGAAGTCGTACGAAACCCAGGTTTATAGTCCAAAAGGTTTATTTGAAATCACAAACTTTTGGGGTGTGCTTCCTTCCATTTCACCTGATGAAGGGGCTGTGCTCTGAAAGCTTGTGATTTCAAATAAACCTGTTGGACTATAACCTGGTGTCATGTGACTTCTGAACCTGAGAGGAGTTGACTGGAGTGAATACTGAAAGAATATTGACCCTTCTCTATGCTATATGACTCTTGTGGGAGAGACTAGAATTTTTTTTTTAAAAAAGGGTCTTCTGTGTAAGACGAAGATGAGGAGAAATGGTTTCTCCGAGGAGTTGAGAGTCCTTGGAACTCTCCTTTGCGGGAATTTTTGGAGTCAGCCAATGAATATTTTGAATATGTAGCTGATCATTGAATAAATTAGTCAATCAGAGGTAAGTGGGAATGTGGAGATGAGACCATGTCGGAGCAGCCATAATCTTAGTGAATGAGGGAGCAGGCTCGAGGGGTTGAATCAGAACCTACTGTTCCTAATTTATATGTTTGTATGTAATCTAATGTCTTGTCACTCCTGTGAGTTAGCTTGTTGCTTTTTAATGGTAAATGTGTTCTATAAAAAGCAAGTCACTAACTCAGTGGATGAAGGCTGATAATGGATTATCAAAAGGGGGAATGTGATAATGTGGGAAGGGAAAGATTTGGCGATGTATGAGAGGAGTTTTCTTAGACTGGAAAGAGTTTATCTTTAAAAGAACTCTCTATGCAAAAGTGGTCTGGAGTGGCAAATTGAAAAACATGTTGAGCTTTGACCTGAAAATGGGGCACATGGCAATTTGTGATAATGGCCGTGTAAAACCGCAGGGAGAGAGAGAAACCAGCAGCAAAGTGGTACATATGCTGCTCTGTGTCAAAAGTTGTGATTGTCTTAGAACTAAGAAATAGGGAAAGGAAATTCACTTTTGATGCAAGCAGGAAGCAAAAAGACTTTGACAGTCATGCAGGCCATTAAAAAGAGAGGAGAAAGGAGATAAGACTGTGAAACAGCATAAAACATGAAACAATTTGTGTTGAAACAATTTAGGGAGGGCATTCATTTAAGATGACAAAGCAGAATTTTCAAAAGAATATTGTTGTGCTGAAGTGTTACCAACTGTTGAAACAAAATTCATGAATTATTTCAAAAGGAAATTACTTGTTTACTTGGCATAGAGGAGGAAGCTAGCAGGAAACTGGGATTAAGCAGCCATAGGTCACACATTTTTAAAAAAAAGTTTAACAACTGTTAACTGACACAGCTGGCCCCATGTGGAAACATGGTCCTCTGGAAATACACACTTTCAGGAAGTATCGCCAACTGCATGAAGCAGAGTTTCTGCTCTTGAGGTTACACTGGCTTTGCAACAGTGTATGGACAAAGATGCATGTTTGTGGATATCATTTTTATTTTCAGAATTATCCTGTAGCTACAGTGGAAGTTCTGGTCACCACATTACAGGAAGGACGTAATTGTTCTGGAGAGAGTGCAGAGAACATTCACTTTTTTTATGCAGAGGATGGTAAGTGTCTAGAATTTGCTGCCTGAGGTGGTGTGGAGGCAGAGACTCTAGACTTTTTAAAAAAGTACCTGGATCTGCACCTTACATTCTGCAAGCTGCAGGCCTATGGCCCGTGTGCAGGAAGATGGGATTAGAAAGGGCATCTGGATGTCGTTGGGTTGGCATGGTCAAGATGGGTTGAATGTCAATATCGTTTCTATGGTTTTAAGTGTGGCACACCAGTTAGATTAGGAGTGACGCACAGGCTGTGAAGGATATTTGATTGCCAGAGGATAGACTGTTGTTTCTGCAGTCACGGAAATCAGTTCTAAACAGTGCATAGCCATCTTGGTACGCCATAGAAAAGACTGAGTGGGCACGAGACATTCTACAGGGTTGAGAGGGGAGACACGGCCTACGTTGGAAGGGGACTCCTTTGAGAAAAGGTTGAGGTTTAGTAAAACTGGATAACATCCAGTGGTAATATTCCAGTTCCACAGAGGGATGAGGTCTCAGAGATTGCAAAGACTGCCTTCGGTTTGATTTTAGTTCAGGAACAGAAAAGGTTTTTTTTCTCATTGCTCGCTTTTTTTTGCTATGGACTTAAAGTAGTAAGAACGGATGCAAGCAAAAAATAACAGGTGATTTCAGAGAAATGTAAACATAATAGAGTAGTAATTTCATCTCAAAGTTGATAGGAAACTTGAAAGTATTAGAAACAGTGAGGGAGACCCCCACTTTGGAACGCTTGATCTAAGTGATATCTTTTTGAGGGAGTTAGTAAAGCAGTTAAGAACTTAGTATTCCTTCAGTCTTGCACTGGATTTTTGTGTTCATGTCTTGGAGTGGCCATAACCTTGTGACTCATGTGTGTTACTGAGCTACAGCTGATGATGTGGATACTTGGCTTTGTAAGTAGGGGCTTTGATTACTAAGACACTAAGTTAAGTTGAATGTTTACAACTCTCTGCTTAGGTCTTGGTTAGTGTACTGCGTGTGATTTTGGGCACTACTTATTTTTATGTGGAATATGGCCTTGGAAAGGTCTGTAAGAATTGTAAAGATGATGGACTTAATTATTTGGAGAGTTTAAATAACATTGATACAATAGATTTAACATCTTACCTTTCATTCTTCCAGGTCATGGGCCATTTTCTCACCTGTTTGATGGAAAATTTATCCCTCTTACTCGAAAAGATGTAATATGGACGGTAATACTTTTTATAGAATCTTGGGAGTATTGAACATTGCAAGAAATGCTGCTGAACTCAGCTTCATTGGAGATATCACCACAGTTAATGTAACAATGTCAATTGTTACATTAATAACACAAGAAAATGAAAACAAACCTTCCTTAGACTATCTGTTACAGACATTCAGTCATGGAGAAATGTCATTTGTGTATCAACTTTTAAATCATTAATTAACTGGGTGATCCCTTTCTTTTTTCTCAAACTGTTAAGCTAATTTTAGGATTCCTTTCCAAGTTCACTGGCACAAACCTCTTGTTAATTCTGATGTCTAAACTTTCTCAGTTCTAACAACTTGCAGATTTCTACCCTACTCTGTCTGTCATAAACCCAATTGTATAAACTTTTTTGTCCGTTATCACCACAGGGGTCTGCTATGCAGATGGCTGAAGTCATGTGCCTTGTAATGATGTATTTAGGTCACTGTTACAAATGGCCTTTATGATCTTTTCTTAAAAAACAGTCACAGAACTGACCCAAATACTTCTGACTCAGTTTTTAGTCCAAATTTCAAAAAATGATCATATGTATTTACTCACCTTTCATCACATTGTATATAGAAATAGTCATTTAACTGTTTGGCTGTAGGTATCTATGGCATTCTTTATTCTATCCTAAAATTGGCAAATATTCAGCATTATAAAGCATTTGGTAAACTTTTTATACACTTAAGCAGCAGATTTTCTGCCCAATTGCTTTGTGTTAGTGTTATACTCTATATAACCTCCTTCTGTCCTCTTCTTCTAGATCTGCCAGTCTGCCCTTGTATTCATTCTACTGTTCACCTGAACTATTACTTGTTGTATTACTATTACTGACATTCTGTCAGCTTATCAGGGAATTGATATTCTTCTGACTTCCCTAATGGACTTATTGGCAAATATCTTGTATTTATAGCCATCTAGTTGAGAACTCACAAGGCACTTGCATCTGAGATTGGGAGGCTTGAGTGTAAATATCTGTGCTCCAATTTTGGGGTGTGAGACACTGTTTGATTTTCATCTGTTATTCACCTGCATAGCACGCTGAACCAAACTTTTTTCCTTGAATCTAGCACGAGGATGCTTCATTGTCTATGTTTGAGCACCTGATCGAAACGAATGGCTTGAAAACTGTTCTGAAAAATCATGGTTTAATGTTCCCTGAAGACCTTGTATTTATCAAAGAACAGATCAGAGGCCCAATAACTGAGACGAGGAGCAATGGAGAGGCCTGCAGTACGAAGTCCTCTGAGGTAAGTAACCCCATTGAACCAATGGAAAGGGAGGAGGGATGGTATGTCTGAATTAGCAGCGTTTAAAGTTATAAATTGAAATATGGTATCTGTTTTTTTATGTCCAGTCATGGGGTTAGCAACTTTATTTAAAATAGAGGTGCAAAAACCTGGAAGAAAGCTCATGGAACTGAGCAATGTAGAATTGGAATACCATAGGCTAAATTCCAGTTCTGTGCTGAAAATGTGAAGTTATGCACATTAGCAGGAAGAAAAGAAGTGTTGAATATTATTTAAATAGTGTTAGATCACAGAATGCTGCAGTACGGAGGGATTGGTCGGGGGGGGGTCTTAGTACATGACTCAAAAAAAAGTATTCAAGTTCAACGGGTTGTAGGGAAGGCAAATGGAACGTTGGCCTTTATTTCACAGAGAATGGAATATTAAAAAAAAGGGAAGTCTTGCAAAAATTACACAAGGCAGTAGTCAGACCTCACCTGGAATACTATGAACAGTTTAGGCCCCTTATTTAAAGAGACAGCACAGAGAAGGTTCACTAGGTTGATTGTGGATATGGAGGGATTTTCTTATGAGGAGAGGTCGAGTAGATTGGATTTAGCCTCACTGGAGAGGAGACCTTATTGAAACACACAAGGTTTTCAGGAAGCCCGTAACAAAGTAGATATGCAGAGGTTGCTTCCTCTCGTGGGATAGTCTAGGACTGAAGGGCATGATTTAGAGTAAAGGGTTGCCCATTTAAAACAGATGTGGAGGAATTTTGTTTTGAGGGTGGTAAGTCTGTGGAAATCTTTACCATAGACTGCTGTAGGAGCTGAGTCATTAAGCATATTCAAGACTGAGATAGACAGTCAGACCTTTCAATCAGTAAATGAATCAAGGCTTATGGGGGTAAGGCAAGTAAGTGCAGTTGAGGTTTATCAGATCAGCCATGATCGTATTGAATGGTAGGGGATAAAAACCCCAATAAACTGATGGACTACTTCTGTTCATACATCTTATGGTTTTGCAGATTGTATTAGCTGATCAGTAATTAGAATGAAAATGTTTGGTTGTGTAATTTTTGTTACTGCCTCAATAATCCAGGGAATGATATGTCATATCCCATCATGATGAATTGAAAGTGATTTCAGTTCAATTTATAAAAAAACTAGAAGTAGCAATTTGGCAACTGTTTCCCTAATGTCCTTTTCAGCAGGAAATCCACTGTGCTTCCCTAGTCTGGAATATGCGTGATTCTCGTCTTTCAATGATAGTGATGATGGTCAACTGCCTTCTGAAATAGTTTAATAAGCCACTTAATTCATTGTTGAATTTTTGAGGGCTGTTCAAAATGGGCTACAAATGCTGGCAAAGTCAGCCATGCCAACATTTCTCAAATTAATTTGTAACGGGTAATAAAAAGATGGCACGTGAAACGGTGCAGCACTCACTCAGTACCACACAGGAACAACGGGCTTGATTTTCTTTTGTGCTCAAGTCCTGGAGTGGGACTTGAATCCACAACATTTTGACTTTGAGGCATGAGCTAGTGGCTGACACTTAGTCACTGATGGGGGACTTGGTGGCGTAGTGGTAATGTCACTAGACTAGTCATGCAAGAACCCCAGGCTAATGTTCTGGGGGTATGAGTTCAAATCCCACCATGGCAATTGGTGAAATTTCACACTAGCAGAAGCCTGGAATAAAAGGATAAAGTAACAGCAACTACATAACCATAAAAGCCTATCTGATTCATTAATATTCTTTAGGGAAGGATATCTGCTGTACTTATCCAATCTGGTCTACATGTGACACCAGACTCTCGGCAACATAGTTGACTCTTAACTACCCTCTGGGTAATTAGACATGGGCAATAAACACAAGGCTATCCACAAACCAAAAATTAAAAAAAAAACTGAATGTGAGAGCAGAAACATTAGCGGTTGACTTGGTTCAGTGAAATGGAGCAGGAGCTTTATTAGCTGGGTAAAAGACTGCACCACATCCTGATGCGACATGGTGAAGATCAGCCTATTAGCCAAGATATCTCTCTTCACCTGCAGTTGTTTCTCGTGATGTGGAGATAGAAAGAATTAAAAGGAAGAGTCTAAAAGATAGTTCTTGATATTCATTCTGTCCTCTGAAGTGCTTTTTTTTAATCTAACTGTGGTATCTTGTCTTGTCAGTGGCCATACAAAGGCCGGCCCAGAGAGAAGGGCTTTCTGTACGAAATTGTTGCCAACAAGAGAAATGGGATTGACGTTGATAAGTGGGATTACTTTGCCAGGTAAGCCTGATCTCTCAGTCTCTCTGATCAGTTGGTGATGGATATTCATTTAATCCATGCAGCTTCACAGAAGATACAAAGTTGACTGAATACAAGTGTGGCAGATTTGGTGCTAATACTTAGTTTAAAGAACAGGTTTCAACATTAATACCGTTTTGTTCCAATTTTATTCCTCCTGCTCCTGAAATTGTTGGTTTCTGCTGGTACACTGTTACCATAGGAACTGGTTATCCACTGGCGCCTCATTTAAAAAGCGAATAGTTGTATGTGAGTAGATGTTTGCTGAAACCAGAACTGTATGCTGTGCTCCAGATGAAGTCTAACTAGGTCTTTGTATGTTTGTGGCAAAGCTCCCCCTGTTGATTTGTAGTCCTTTAGGTACAATAGCAGAAATTCCGTCAGTCTTTACTGTATTTTGTTTGTTCATCTTTATCTGCATCATTTTAGCGATTTTGTTTACATGGACCCCTAAATCTCTTTGCTTGTCACTGTTCACCAAGTATATACACATACCATCGCTTCCACCTTAATTTCATGGACTTTCATCTGCGTAACATGCCTTCTGAGTGTCAAAGCCCAAATCTGCAACACCTTACAGATAACCTTTGTTACCTCATCAAAGAGGTCAATCACATGCGTCAGACATGATCTTGCTTTAACAAATCCATGCTGCTTCTCTTCGCTTAACTTTCATCTTTCCTGATTTAAAAAAAAAATGTTTATTTTGAACCTACTGATTTTCGGTAGTTTTACCAACACTGATGTTAGGCTAACTAGCCTTTATCACTCTTCTCTTTCACGAATAATCATCTTTGTTTAGAAGCTCACCAATCACCTGGCATGAATGAAGATTGAATCATGACGACCAGTTCTCACTGTTTTGCTTTCTCATTGTTTTTCACTTAGAGCCATTAGAGTCCTATAGCACGGAAACAGACCCTTTGGTCCAACTCATCCGCACCCACCAGATCTCCTGACCTGACCTAGTCCTGTTTGTCAGCATTTAGCCCAAATCCTTCAACGCTTCCTATTCATATACCCATCCAGATGCCTTTAAATGCAGTCATTGTACCCACCTCCATCACTCTGTGTGAAAAAGTTACCCCTTAAGTTACTTTTAAATTTTTCCTTTCTCAACTTAAACCTAAAGCGTCTGGTTTTGGACTCCCTTACCCTAAGAAAAAGACCTTGTTTATATACCCTGTCCATGCCCCTCATGATTTTATAAACCTGTGTAATGTCACCCCTCAATCTCTGGTGAAAAATAGTCCCAGCCTTTTCAACCTCTCCCTATAGCTCAATCCTCAAACCCTGGCAATATCCTTGTAAAATTTTCCTGCACCTTCTCAAGTTTAACAACATCTTTCCTACAACAGGGCGACCAGAATTGTTCTTCCAGTAATTTCATGGCATTCCATCTGGAGCAGATGAAGCGTGCTCTTGGATTCAGGACATGAACTCTGTTTCTGTTTTCACAGATGTTGCCAGACCAACTAAATTTGTCCAGCTGTGTTTTTCAGATTTCAAATCTCCAGCATCTGCAATATTTTGTCTTTATTCAGTTATGATCTTCTTCTGAGTGCAAGGTCTCTGCCTATTACTGTTCAAAATGTCCTTGTCCTCTCTTCGTGTAATGTCCACATGCTTTACAAAGCCAGTACCAAAGGAGTCATATTCAAACTTTGGCTGTGTCCTCTCAGTGAACATCTTTCTTTGAGCTCCTAAAATGCTCGACATTTTCCCTAGCTAACCACTTGCTCTCATCTTTATTTAATTACAAAATTAGAAGATTAAAATTTTTCAATCTAAATGACAATTCCTGAATTGAGAAATCAAACAGATGGAATATTATTAGATGTAGACCATATGGAAATGAAACGAGGATGCACTTTCCTCTAATTGGAAGTTTATTTACAATTTTATGAAGTGTACAGAGAAGCGGTTGTTTTGCATACAGCAGGCTAAATGAGACGATTTAATAACTCTTGCAACTTTATTAAAATAAATTAATCTGCAGTACACTTCAAGTGGTCAAGTATACTATTATGCTTAAAATAGTTTAAAAAAATGGCAAAGTCTCAATTCGAGTGGGCAATTCAGACATTTGGTGTTACAGCTGATTATCTCAGAATATTATAAAAAAAATTAAAGCATTTTGAAGCATTAAGATCTAAAGCATTAAATCATACCTTAAATTTCATGAGTAGGGGTTTAGGATATCTTCTGTTAAAAATTCCACCACAAGAAGTATTGTTGAAGAAAATGAAGATATCTAAATCTTCAGCCATTAGATTCCCATGTTCTTATCTAATGATCTCATACTTTGCCAATGCTGTCATTATCTTTGTGCAGTTTTTTCTCCCCCCTTTCTATTGTCAAAAAAGAGTTGGATCATTCAATATTAATAATTATTTAAATACTGAGGATGTCTTATCATGAAGTTTATGAGCTTTTAGCTGGTCAGATTGTTTATACAGTAATATAGTAATCCAACTGTGACTTTGGTTAATGAATGCCTAATGGCACCTTTCATGAATTAAGTGAAGATTATGCCAAAATGGCTGCCACACTTGCAGATGAGGCTCATCAAGCCAACCAGCTGCAGGAGGGGTCAGCATCGACACATGCCCTGATGTCATGAAGCTGGGGCTTGGGGGTGGGGGAACTGGGGATGAGGGGACAGTAGTCTGAGGGTACGTCGGAAACTACAGCTGATGAAACTGAGCTTCATCTCCCCAGCATGTGGTAAAATGTCTATTTTTAAAATCTGAACATCAGCAAAATCTCGTCCTTCCATCCTGCGATAGTGTGTTTTTTTTAAATTTCCGTATGTGATGCAGGTACCACTGTTTGGGCCAGCATTTATTGCCCATCTCTCGTTACCCTCAGATGTGGTGGGCTCCTTTCTTGAGTTGCAATCCATTTTGGATTGAAGGTGGAGGATGTTTGGTTTCAGATTTGGCTCTAAGGCTATGCCTGTAAACTCTGCCTTTGCCCCCCTCTCCTCTGTGTGGCCTGGTAATTGAAGAGAGCTTGGCTGGAGAACCAATGGGGAGTGCCAGTCCTGTAACCAAAGGGCAGAGCTGAGCTAATCCTTCTCCTTGTCCAAATGGCATAATCCCCACTGTGCATTTGCAGACAGACTATCGACATCTGCCAGCTGCGACACTGTTCCTGCATGTGCATGCTCGTTGCTTTACACTTGGCCCTCAGAAGAACTAACTCGTAGGCTTATAATTACAAGTCTGTTCCACATACAATTTAGTTACTATCCCATGTGTAATTATCCTTGTATTTTTCGAGACCTGCTTTGGCCTAAAGGTGAACTCTTTTCATGCACATCCCAATGTAACAGAAGTATTGGGAATGATTTTTAATTAACAGGGAATTTTGTAAACATTGGTTTTTGAAAGAGAATTGTTCAACTTCTACATGTGTTAAATGACTAGTTTCTTCCTAAGCTTAATGTATTAAGAACAGCAGTACAGCACAGGAGTAGGCCCTTCGGCACACCAAGCTTGCGTTGATATATGACACCTTTCTAAACTAAAATCTTTCTGTCTCTACATGTTCTGTATCCCTCTATTTTCTGCCTATTCATGTATCTATCAAGATGCCTCTTAAATGTTGCTATGGTATCTGCTTCTACCACCTCCTCTGACAGTGCATTCCAGGCACTTACCACACACTCTGTATAATAAACTTGCCTCTCACATTTCCTTTAAACTTGCCCGTTTTTACCTTAAACCTATGCCACATGTAACTGGCAATTTTACTCTTGGGAAGAAGAATTTTCCATTCTATCCATTAATTTCATAAATTTGTAAACTCCTATCAGGTTGCCCTTCGGCCTCTGATGTTCAAGTGAAACCAAAACGAGTTTGTCCAATCTCTCCTTCTAGCTAAAACCCTCCGAACCAGGCAACATCCTGGTAAACCTATTCAGTACCCTCTCCCAAGTCTTCCATATCCTTTTGGTAGTGTGGAGACCAGAAGTGTACATAATATTTCAAGTGTGGCCTAGCTAAAGTTTGATACTGCTGCAGAACTGTAAGTCCTTATTCTCAAAGGGTAATGTTGTAAATATATTTGAATTCTACCTTTTTAGCAATTTTCTGTTCTAATTGTATGTATGTTCCTACATTGTTTCTGAAGGGACTGTCATCATCTAGGAATCCAGAACAACTTTGACTTTGTACGCTTCCTCAAGTTTGCTCGAGTTTGTCAAATTCGCAAAATGAAGTGTATTTGCACTCGAGATAAGGTAAAACCTATTTTATGGTGATTTCAAAACAAAATCTGTTTTTTCACTGGCTGACCAGCACCTGTTCAAACATTAGTTAACTCGGGAATTGGCTAGCTCATTTGGCTGGATGGCTGGTTTGCAATGTAGAGTGATACCAACAGTTTGGGTTCAATTCCCACACAGGCTGAGGTTACCCTGAAGGACTCTTCTTCTTAACCTCTCCCCTTGCCTGAAGCGTGGTGACCCTCAGATTCAACCACGACCAGTCATCTCTCTCTCTCTCACTCTCATGAACGAGTAGCCCTATGGTCTTTAATCTTTATTTAACTCAAAACTCAGTTCTGCTAGGTTGGAGGATGGCAGAAGTAATACCATTGTTTAAAAAAGTAGGGAGCGAGGAAACTAAGAACTACCAGCTGGCTACCCTAACACTCATAGGAAGTAAATAAAAACCATTCTGAGGAAGAGATAGTAAGAACTGCAGATGCTGGAGAATCCGAGACAACAAGGTGCAGGGCTGGATGAACACAGCAGGCCAAGCAGCATCGTAGGAGCAGAGAGGCTGACGCCGACGCAACTCCGCCCACAGCCTCCACAGCCAGCAGCTCCAGAGGAGACAGCAGCACCCAGCCCTGCCGAGTCTTCACCATCCCTCCAGACCTACCCCTTACTGAGGACGAACGGTCGGTCCTCAGTAAAGGGCTCACCTTTGTCCCCCTCCACCCACACATCAACGAATACCGCTCACGCTTGGACATAGAGCAGTTTTTCCGCCGCCTCCGCCTCCACGCTTACTTCTTCAACCGTGAACCTAACCCTCCCTCTACTGACCCCTTCTCCCGCTTCCAACACACCCCTCCTCCTGGACACCACCCCAAGGCCTCCTACCCTCCCTCGACCTCTTCATCTCCAACTGCCGTCGAGACATCAATCGCCTCAAGCTCTCCACCCCTCTCACCCACTCCAACCTCTCCCCTGCAGAACGTGCAGCCCTCCGCTCCCTCCGCTCCAATCCCAACCTCACCATAAAACCCGCGGACAAGGGAGGCGCAGTTGTAGTATGGCGCACTGACCTCTACATCGCCGAGGCCAGACGCCAACTCTCCGACACCACCTCCTACCGCCCCCTTGATCATGACCCCACCCCTGAGCACCAAACCATCATCTCCCAAACCATCCACAACCTCATCACCTCCGCTGACCTCCCATCCATGGCCTCCAACCTCATCGTTCCCCAACCTCGCACTGCCCGCTTCTATCTCCTTCCCAAAATCCACAAACCTGAATGCCCTGGTCGACCCATTGTCTCCGCCTGCTCCTGCCCCACTGAACTGATCTCCAACTATCTAGACTCCATTTTCTCCCCCTTGGTCCAGGAACTCCCTACCCATGTCCGTGACACCACCCACGCCCTCCACCTCCTCCAGAACTTCCAATTCCCTGGTCCCCAACATCTCGTCTTTACCATGGACGTCCAGTCCCTCTACACCTGCATTCCCCATGCAGATGGCCTTAAGGCCCTCCGCTTCTTCCTGTCCCGCAGGCCCGACCAGTCCCCCTCCACTGATACCCTCATCCGCTTAGCCGAACTCGTCCTCACACTCAAGAACTTCTCTTTCAATTCCTCCCACTTCCTACAGACAAAGGGGGTAGCCATGGGTACCCGCATGGGCCCAAGCTACGCCTGCCTCTTTGTAGGTTACGTGGAACAATCCCTCTTCCATACCTCCACCGGCCCTAAACCCCACCTCTTCCTCCGTTACATTGATGACTGTATCGGCGCCGCCTCGTGCTCCCATGAGGAGCTCGAACAGTTCATCCACTTCACTAACACCTTCCACCCTAACCTTAAGTTTACCTGGACCATCTCTAACACCTCTCTCCCCTTCCTGGACCTCTCTGTCTCCATATCGGGCAACCACCGAGAAACCGATATTCATTTCAAGCCCACCAACTCCCACAGCTACCTAGAATACTCCTCCTCCCACCCACCTTCCTGC